CACCATCGTCACTCCCTCGTCCTCCTCGTCCTCGTCCTCGTCCTCGTCCTCGTCCTCGTCCTCGTCCTCGTCCTCCTCGTCCTCGTCCTCGTCCTCGTCCTCGTCCTCGTCCTCGTCCTCTTCGTCCTCGTCCTTGTCCTCGTCCTCGTCCTCGTCCTCGTCCTCGTCCTCGTCCTGTTCTCTTGACTTACCGTCTCTCGCATCATGCCTTCTGTAGCTGTGGAGATGACATAGAGGTTGATCGGGACGACATGGAGGCCGGTGACGCGATCTGCGAGCGTATCACCTTGACATGTCACCTGCTCTGCATGGTACCTATGAACGAGGGATGGAAGAACAAGAGGCAGTTGAGAAACGAGCTCGTTCGTAGCTGAAGCTCCGCATTGAGGGTATTGAACCAGATGACAAGAATCTGCAGGCTAGTGAGGGAGCAAACTTCGACAAGCTCCTCCTCTACCTGGTTCAGCAGAACATCGTCGTCAAGCATGTCGAGCAGCAGCTCACTCGGGGTGTAGACCTTACTGTGGAACCATATCACCCGCTGCTTGCTGTTTGCTGCTTCCCCTCTCCCTCCTCCTCTCCTCTCCTTCCTGCCTCTCCTCCTCCCACCCGTTCGCCTCATCAAACTTGGTGACCCCGACCGCACAGAGTCTCATCACTTCAGACAGGAGTCCTGGATCGCTGAATGAAAGTGAGGAAAGAGAGCAGAGGAGAGGAAGCGGGGGAGGAAGCTAATGTTGTAAGACAGGAAGAAGAACATAGGAATGAGGCAAGGGTGTGTGTGTTGGGGGGGTGGGGAGAGAGAGAGAGAGAGAGAGAGAGAGAGAGAGAGAGAGAGAGAGAGAGAGAGAGAGAGAGAGAGAGAGAGGAGAGAGGGGAGAGAGGAAAGAGGAAGGTTTTCACCTGCATGTTCCTATTACTTCTCCTGCTTTCTTCACCACCACTTTCCTCGCAAAAACTCTGCCATGCAGACTCGGCATGCTGCCGGCAGATCAGAGGTGAAAGTTCACTCCTCATGTTGCCAAATCGTCTAGCCCTCTTCCCATGTCTCCCTACCCCCGCCCTCTTCCTCTCTCTCCTATATCATCCTTCGCACCCTTCTACTTCACTCTCCTCCTCCTATTTTTCCTTCGTACCTCCATTGTCTTGCTGCTCCTCCCTCCCTCCCTCCCTCCCTCCCTCCCTCCCTCCCTCCTCCTCCTCCTCCTCCTCCTCCTCCTCCTCCTCTTCCTCCCCCTCCTCCTTACCTCGCAAAGTTGGCAAGGAGACCAAAGCAGATCTCCTGCCCTCGGTAGGTGACCTCCTCCTCCTGACACTTGAGGTCAACGAGGAGGTGCAGAGTTGTCACTGCGTTACCAGAAGGAGAGTCTCCAGGACCATGAGGAAGTCAAGATCATCGAGGAGGTTACAGAGAGCGCTGTTGACCTGCAGGACGTCGAGAAATTATGGACGGAGGGGAGTTTGATGTGGGAGATCGAGTTAGGGAGGCCAAGACTGAGGTGAAGGAGCAAAGGCAGGAAAGGGAATGAGAAGGGCAGGTGCACGGGCGATGGCAAGGGCAAAAGGAGGAGGAGAGGGAGGAGAAGGAGGTGGCGGAGAAACATGAGGTGGTGGAGAAAGACGGCACGGAAGGATGATGATGATGACGATGAGGGGTGTGAGGAGAGAGGAAGAGGGAGGAGGAGGGAGGAGGAGGAGGAGGAGGTGGAGGAAGAGGAGAAGGAAGGGGCTCTTGTGCAGTCACCGTTAGGTCCCACAACTTCTTGAGGGCAGAGATTCTCTTTCTCCCCGCGCCGTCAAGGTACCAATCCGCCTCCTCCTCCTCCTCCTCCTCCTCCTCCTCCTCCCCTCCCCCATGATGCGCCCCCTCTTCCCCATCTGCCTGCTCTGTGTCGTTGCCCTCCTTGCCATTCACTACCTGCAGGACGAGCGCTGCATGGCAGTGAGACTGGGGAGCTAAAGCATCCTCGCTCACATGTGAGGTATTCCTTGTCGACAGCAAGGTCGGCATGGCGAACAAGAGCGGCGGCATAGCGGGTTGATGACTCTGAAGGCTCCTGACAACAACGGTCAGTTAAATGTCAAGCACAACTCTCCTCTCCTCTCCTCTCTGTCTCTGTCTCTGTCTCTGTCTCTGTCTCTGTCTCTGTCTCTGTCTCTGTCTCTGTCTCTGTCTCTGTCTCTGTCTCTGTCTCTGTCTCTGTCTCTCTCTCTCTCTCTGTCTCTCTCTCTCTCTCTCTCTCTCTCTCTCTCTCTCTCTCTCTCTCTCTCTC